CTTCTGTACTTAACTTCGTGAAACACCGATCTTATTCCTGGTACTTAAGGCACTGAATGAGGTTTTTAAAATTTCCTCCAGCCTTCCTGAAATGTTGCCACTTCACTCGGACATGCAGCATAAGGCAAGCATTTTTTAAACTTAAAGGTTGCTAAGTTCGTTAGACTGGAAGTGAACTGGATAAAAATCAATTTAAATCCCGTTGCGCAAATTTTCAGGACGGGATTTAATTTTTTACTTTGATTACTTCGGCTGGCTCAACTCCGAGTAATTTTGTCAATTCATCTTTGATCTTATCTTGGGATTCAAAAATGGGCAGACTTTTTAGAGCAGGTATCGTAAGTAAAATTTTTGGCTTGCTCTCAGTAGGATACTTGAGAAGACGTTTGAATCCGTCCAAGGTTTGAGCCAATACACGGCATTCACCCCGGCGGCGAATTTGAGTTGATACTTGATCTTAGCGAAGTTCAAAAGTTCCGTGCGAAGAGCATGAAAATCGGAAGTGGTTATCACAATAGGAGGGACCTTTTTCCGTCTTGACATAAAGCCGGGAATGTTTAATTGAATTTTGCTTGAATGATGGATCATTCTCATCATCGCTGAGCAAATCAAATTGATTGGTCAAATAACTTTCATCAAAAGATGGATCAAGATATTGCCCTTTTCTTTTGCGTTTAGGCGCTATGGCGGCAGTAAAACGTTTTTCCAAATCGACTTTTAAGCATATTTCTTTAAGAATCCGAACGATAGAGGAGGAATTTTCCAATTAGATATCTAAGCATAATTACCTCGGGTAGGTTCCAAAAAAGTAACCAAGAGAAATAAGAATCAAACAAGGTAGACAATTTGCAGGGAATAATGAGCACTGAAAAGCGCTGTTTAAATTTGTTGTAGCTTTAGGTAGCTGAAAGACTTTCTTCAGCAGAAAGTAAATAGAACTGCATGGCAAGAGAGCACGATGTGGTGTGTGTCGTATGTCTTTGTGCTGTCGGAGCGCAAAGTGGTTCTCGGAACCGGTTTTCAGAACATCCGGTATGTGGCCTAAGGGGCGGTTGATGCTCTTTGGACATGTTATTTTGACATTTTATTCAAAAATGAGAAATCATTGTGATCCACCACTACTGGAAACATTTGCCTCATTTTAAATCGGATTAACGGCGGAACAAGATACTTGAAGAGTTTCCGGTTTTCAGATTGAAATCTTTAAAATTGGTTCAGAAATGAGTTTATTTTTCTAAATTATAAATCAGATGTTGGGGGTTTGACAGCTAATAAGCATAGCGAAAACACAACATTTGTATATAGAATGGCTTTTACCGATTCATAATCGAAACCCACTGCGCCAAAACTGTTTTATATGTGTCTAACCATATTTTTGGGAAATTACATACAAATCAATAAGCGGTTTGAATATATAACATATAGAATGGCCTTTACCGGTTCAGACTTGAATCGGTAAAATTAAACAGAAAAAAAACTGATTTACATGCGTCCAATCGTTTTGTTTGGGTAATTACGTAACGTTTATGTGCATAATAAATACATTTAATATATGATTATACTTGTCTACACTGGTTTATACTTGAATCGGTAAAATTAACCGGTGCACAAAAACCAGTTTATGGGCGCTAAACTGAATGTTTGGGAAATTCCATGAAGTTATATAAGAATAATTAATACATAACATATATAATGGCTTTTACCGGTTCAGCATCTAATCGGTAAAATTGACCAGTTAACTAAAATAAATTATTTAGGTTGTTGGTACATCTCCCATAAATAGAAAGTAGTTTACATTACCGGTTCCCTTATGAGCGCTGGAGGGTTAAGTTCTTTTTTTTCTCTTTATTAGAGTGACTTTCAGCCACTGGCTGGTTCGTCACTTAGAGGTTTAAGTTCGTTTTCGCCGATAAATTCGCCCGGCAGCTGTTGATCTGACAGTTGTGCCAGCATAAATTAAGTTTTTTTTGCCATGAAGAACCCAAGCAACACACATGTTGTATAACAGTTTATATAACCATTGTGTGGCTGGTTTTGATCATCTAGTAGTTTACTCAACATAATTCTATAAATTTGTGTTACTTGAGAAGATGGTATACTAGAAGAAAAAACGCATTCTATCGGTTATTAAGACACACATAGAACCCGTGCAGCTTTGGCTAGATTTGAAAAGCTATTTTCGACTACCGGAAAAACGCGACTTACTTAGTTATAAATGAGCTGCTTAAACAGCAACAATGCAGTGAAGAAAGAAAAAAACTAAAGAAGGAAGAAAGTTGCGGGCGCGACAGTAACTAAACAGAAAGTAGTCGCCTCTCGGGAAGAATTAAACTCAAACACAGACATTCAATTTCTTTTTCCTTGAAATAAATCTCTGTAATAATCGGCCCATTGAGTTTCATAAACTTTTGAGACTAGATGAGACTCACCCTAGTGGCTCAACCAAGACTCCCGGATATCTAGCTCAGTAGCATGAGACCCCTGAACTGTGTCACAGGGCTGGCATGCTACTGGGTAATTCGGAGGGGAACGCGGAACAAACTGTTCAGAAACTGTGGGATTTCTTAAATGATGGTGAAATTAATTGGAAGCTAAAGTGTGGGTGGAAAAAGTCTAGAAGTTTATTCAAATGGAATTATGGTGCGGATGGTTTTATTGGGCTATTATGGGGTGTGTTCTATGGGTTTCTGCTTCCTTGGTTCGTACCGGTGGTGTTTGCTGGACGATGGCGAGCGCTCGCTGGTGGTAATTGTTTTGGGCAGCTGTTGTTTGACCGCGATGGTGGTCCGTGGCTTGATCACTCTGTCGACAATGGCGGATCGGTGTCTACAACTGGTCTGGAAGATTACGCCTGGTGACTGGAGCTGTGGTCACTACAATGGCGGATTTGAGGCTTGGGTTTGCGCGTTGCGATGGCGGTTCGCAACCAGCGAAGTAGCCTTTTCGGTGTCAACGGCGTCTCCCTTCGCTGGCGAGTATCAGCTGACCGTGACAAGGCCACCTTGGTCGAGCTGAGAAGGGTCTTCCTCCTTAACAATTAGGACTTTCGAGTCCGAGGATGCTCTCCTTTCTGGCAATTATTAAGCCGGAGAGTAGAAGGTCCTTGACATTTAGACCATGACAGTCGAGACTGACTTGGTCGAAAAGTGCCGATCGTGATGATATCCGTGGAATAAACCAAAAAGATCCTGAATGAACACCAGGAACATAAAAAGGTCGTTCACTGCACTTCGGTTCACTTTTGTACTCCACTCACGTCTTACTTCTGAGCAATGGTTGACCATCCCAGCTATCAAAAGCCCTCCTTTTCCCATCAAGTTTTCAATACGTTCCTTATTTCCTCCATTTTCCTTACTTGTAGCTTATCACCACCCATCCATATCATCTCCTTCGCCTATTGAGTTTTTCTACCACAGTTGATCATAACACCCTTTCGATCCTGTCGCACCCAATTAAGTTTATAAACTTATATCAATTTCAAACTACCTACTAACACAAATTTATACATTTTTCAAATACAGCAATTTTACCAACAATCCTACTAATCCTAATAGCCCAACACTGACACTAAAAAACACTACAGTTTCCTAAAACAACATGCACAAATTAAAACGTAGGAAATTGTAACTAAAACGGTTACACTTTCAAGCCTAAACAAATAAACGAATTGTAAATAAGATAGAATTATAAAATATTATAATTCTGTACTCTCAGCGGCACCGGGGGTGTAGTGGTAAGCGGGATTACCTCTCACCCCAGCAGGTCTGGGTTCAATCAAAGTCGGCGCCGCCGGGATGTTCTGAGGCATAACATCTCTGATCACGCCTTCCTGCGGAAAGGAAGTAAAGCCGTTGGTCCCCGGTTCATGAGTTGATGGGTCGATAAGTAGGGTTCAGGTGCGGGAGCTGCCTCCCTGGCGTCGGTTGCATTGGTGCTCAGCACGGAAAACCAAAAAAAAAAAAAAAACAAAAAAAACTGTGCTCTGATCACATGACCCCGTTACCAAAAATGGGGTATTTAGTAAATTCACAGAAGAATTTTACATTAATATTTCAAAAGGTCCTATCTGTTTCGATCGATTTTACTACTATAAGGTTTCTCAACGGAGTGGATTTGATCGAAAAGGATATTAATCATCCCAATCGCCTCCCATTCTGTTCAATCGAAGATGAAGAAAACTAGCAATTTGACTGGGGATGCTGTAGGCTTGATTAGCAGCAGCGGCTATTTTGAATTTCACTCAAAGTTCGTATTTTTTCATGAATAATTGTTATGAAATGATGAACTGTGACAACATGCTATTTTTCTCACGTTAAAAAAATCCCAAGATAGAGCTGCTTAAGTGCGACTATAGATTATAAGTGAAACATGCTTTATTGCTCAGGTAGGTCAGCTGGCCGAAAATCTAACTCTACCTGTACCTGTACCTTATCGTTATTATGTAATCAGAAGCCGATAACCTAGTTGTACATAGTAAATGACACTGCCGATTCGGAAATGCAATAAACGGATAACGCACCGTGGTAGAACACCATAATACTTACACCCAGTCGGAAAATGTACAAGTGACTCCTATCCAAACGTTAACCCTAGTGATGGTCTAAATATTACAGACTGTTGTATGTACTGCTATTACGTTAAAAAAGAAAGGCATACGAATTATCTTAAAAACTCATACTCACATTTGCTTTATTCACCCTTTGATTTGGGTGTACCTAACCACTTCGCAAAAAAAAACGGCAGCTGTTCGTCTTTCGATTTTGAATATTCCTAGCGATAATGGCCAATTCGACCCGGCTCGTGTGATCGCCTAATAAAACACAATGGAATTTTTCGCCAATTGAGCCATGTGATAACCTTGGACAATTGCATAGCGATAAGACGTGATGGCTGCGTTTTGGTGGGGTCTGGTTTGCTGATCTAAGCTTAACCTAATCGCACGCGAGAGTCTGGAGATATCTACCGTCTACCGTGATAAGTCGATTTTATAAAAGCCACCGGCGAAACCGGCTTTCATACCAGAAGATCTGCCGAGATGTTCAAATCCAGTGCTCTAGTCGCTTGCTTGTTCCTAGCCGTGGCTGCTGCCAGCCGTAAGTATTCAACTGCCATCTCGTAGAACCACATTGAATTTGGAACTCTTCTTGGCAGCCGTGCTGAAAACCCAGCAACCGGATGGCCGTATTGCCGGAGGTATCGATGCTGAGGAAGGACAGTTCCCGTACCAGGTTTCGCTCCGTACCTCGTCGAACAATGCTCATTTCTGCGGTGGCTCGGTTCTCAATAACCGTTGGATCATCACTGCCGCATCTTGCGCTCAGGGTAAGGTACCAGCCGGAATCACTGTCATGGCTGGTAGCAAGAGTCTAACCCGAGGTGGATCGTACCACCAGGTCGACCGCATCGTCGTTCATCCCAACTTCGATGAATTCACCCTGTCTAATGATGTGTCCGTTATGCGAGTTCGCAACCCATTCCTACTGAGCCAAACCATCATGGCAGTGCAGATGTCCAGTGAATACGTTTCGATTGCCTATGGAGCATTGGTGTCCGGATGGGGTCGTCGCGCGGTAAGTTCACTAGATGACTAGCAGTTTCAGTACGTTACTTACGCGATCCCGTTTCCAATCCGCAGATGGATAACCCGACCTTCCCGGATTGGCTGCAGTACGTCCCGGTGAATATCATCTCCAACACCGAATGTAAAGTGCGCTTCGAAGCTCCCTACGACGGCCGCATTAACGACAATGTGATCTGCTCGTCGAGCCCTATGGGACGTGGCACTTGCTTGGGAGATGCCGGCGGTCCACTGCTGCACGGTGGTGAACTGCAGGGAGTCGTCTCGTGGGGAATCCCATGCGGAATGGGCTTCCCAGATGTGTTCGCTCGCGTCTCGAACCACCGCGCGTGGGTTCTGGTCCACACTATGGTTTAAGTTAGCTGTAAGGTTGGAACCGTTGGAGAAAAAAAAAATAAAAAAAAAAAGTTTGACAGTAACTACATCGTTGGGGTGGTTTCGTTATCAGCGCGAGAGAGCACGTCATCACGCCTTGCAGTGAGTGAAGGAGTGGGCTTACTGTTCCGGTAGCTGCATGTCATCGATCATAATAAAAACGCTTATCGGTCTGGTAGGGACATGTGTTTCGATAATTAGTTGTTGTGGCAAAGGAGATTGGGCGGGAGAGATTTGATGTGTGCAATTTCGATGGCATTGATTGTCAGGTGTCGAGATGGTGTTGAGATCCCGTGAAATTAATTTAGAGAAGATTGTAATTGAACATTAGCCGTAAATTGGGTGGGTGACGTTTTCAGTAGCCCTTGCGAGAAGGGGTCACCGGTAGATGTCGATTTAAGTATTTCAATTATATTTTGAAGCATGATTTCATTTGATGGACTTTGCAATATCGTAGTTCTGTGCCACTAAGTGTTTGACGAACTTAATTGAATTTTGGATTTCAACTCACTTACCTCACATACACATACATTTTCACTAGTATTTTTTGGAAAGTGTTCCAAGTAACACGCTCAACATTTAACATTTAACTCTAAGAAAAGCTTGTTATATAAATGAATTCTTCTTCTTCTTCTACTACTTCTTCTTTTTCATCATCTTTTTCACATTTCTTATTGCGTGCTCTCAACTTAGTGTTCTAGATGCATCCGAAAAATTCCTAGACCGGACCGGGAATCGAACCGAGCCACCTCCAGCATGGTCTTGCTTTGTACCTGCGCATTTACCTACCGAGGGAGGCCCCAATAAATGTATTATTGAGTTGCACAAAACGTCCTACATTTTATAAAGCTCCTTAAATGTTTTTTTTCTCCCTATTTTAAAGATTATATGAATATCTTTAGAATTGTTAGAATGCAAAATCAATCTTATATATAATCTTTTATTTAGATATGAACTTCTGGAAGAGATTTCCAATACAAGATATTTATAGCATATCTCCCACTGAACTGCTAACGTTTTTTAAGTTACACAAATGTACGTCTTACTTTATAAGACTACTGCAGAATTTGCTGTATACAGGATCAAACTTTATTTTTATAAAGCTGAAGAGTTGTCACATACGAGATGCTTCTACATGAGCTCATTGAAAACCACCACTTTAATGGTGATGACGTATGTTTACGGAATTAAGTAATCAGATATTTCAGAGATTTACTTTGAGCTCCTACGGGTGCAGCAGCTTCTTAATCATAGTTATTGTGAGCTTGTAAAGGCACAGCAGCTTCCTATTCAAAATGATTTTTATTACAGGCGCAACAAAAATAGCCTGCCTTAGCAGATATTTATTAGCTTTCATATGCTTGAAAATACATTCCAAGTGTTTTATGTTACTTCATACGCGAAGCTAGCGATTTTCAGAGTTGGTTGGAGATGCCAACATGAAGCTTTAGTGTGATAATTTATTAGCTAGAGAATGATCTTTAGAAGAGGGTAGGTGGATAGTTCCGTTAGAGTACGGCAGTATGAAAATTGACCCTACTGCTTTCTCTCTGAGATGATCACGTTGGTCATGACGAGAGCAGCAACACAATAGTTGGGTAAAGAAGAATTGCATTATAACACAACATCGACTGGAAATGCTCTCGCAAACGGGGGGCTTAGGTAGTGATGAAACATCGCTAGAACTATTCCACAGCTGCAGTCAGTTATAAGCAGAAGGCGGACGCACATCTTTTGCCTGTAGACTTGGAGACATACTTCAAGTCTCCGCGTACATCGTTCGGGTTAGGCAAAAGATGTGCGTCTAGCTTTAAAAACTGTCGCATTAATGGCCCTTCGCTCATTTTCAACTTCTATTCAATTTTCATACTGCCGTACTCCAACGGAATTTATCCACCTACCCTCTTCTAAAGATCATTCTCTAGCTAATAAATTATCACACTAAAGCTTCATGTTAGCATTTCCAACCAACTCTGAAGCTTGAAAATGTCTGCCATATTTTCCCTGCCAGTTGCCGTGCGTTGCTCATCTTGCTCGGACGCCATTTTGATAACTGAAGAGCAACTGTCAAAATCGTAAACACGGTAACCGCAAAATACCCAATAATGACTACAAAATAAGCCTTTTCAAGGGAAACTGGGACTACCCATGAAATGAGTAAAATTGTACCCATATATGAGTAATTAGGTAGGTATTAATTTTTGAGCAACAAATACTCATAAATGGGTAATATTTTTACTCATTTAATGGGTATTCCCAGTCTCCCTTGAAAATGTGTACTTTGTAGTCAGTATCGAGTATTTTATAGTCATTATTGGGTATTTTGCGGTTACCGTGAAAAAAGCATCATTCTGCACGCACACACCTACAAAATGAGGGGTGTTCAGGTTTTTTAAATGCTAGATTAAAAGAAATGCGTCAAGTTTAAGTCGACCAAAGTTTGATCGTTACACCCTTTATTACGTAGATTTTCCTTTTAATTCTATTACTATCACTTAGTTACTTGAATTTTACTTATTCACTGCTCACTTTCACTAGTTACATTCACTATCGCTTAAAAAAAAACTGTACCAGATTCGTATTTCGTTTACTACTTACAAACTTCTTCAGTGTCTAGTCATAGACTGAAGAAGTTTGCAAGTAGTAAACGAAATACGTAGGGGAGAAGTTGGCTTCGGCAATACCGTAACCTATTATCGTCAGGGGGGTAAACAAAGTCCTAGAGCACTCAAATTTGGCCAATAGTTGCTCTGAAACACAATGTATCCACATGCAAAAATTGAGCTCTCAAGGACGTTGTTTACCCCCATGCAGTGTTGGCAAAATCAGAAATCAATTGATATTTTTCCGCTCTCATGTGCACGCAATATCACGCGTAATATTGGAACAAAATATCATGCTTGATATTGATTTTACAAGCTCCTTTGATAATGCGAGACTATTCACAACGTGCGTAAAACAAACTGAGAGTTGACTCGACACAAAAATGATTCCGTTGCACATCGTTTACTTAGAAAGATAAACTATAGTATGCTATCTCTTTTTACTCTTCACCGATGGCAGACACGAAGCGACTGCTGCCAGCCGTTATGGAAGTTTCGGTTGTATTCGGGTGTAAAGCAAACATTATGAAACTCAATCTCACCACAGTTTGCTGAGATTTGCAGCTGGTGAGTTTTTTTTAGCTTGATATTCCGAGCTGCGATATCACAGCTTGCAAAATCAACCGCAGTTGTTTGCTTGTTGATTTTTGTCCACGAAAATCAAGCGTGATCTTGGGCGTTGGTGAGATTTGATTTTTTGATATTTTTACAACACTGCCCCCATGACAATAATAGGTTAATGTATTGCCGAAGCCAAATTTTCCCCTATCTATTATAGTTTTTTTTAAATGATTAGTGAAAGTAAATAGTGAATTTGTGAAATTCAAGTGAAATAGTGAAAGTGAAAGTTATACCATATTAGTATAAATAAAAGGAAAAAAAAAAAAAAAACGTTATAAGATATACAATTAATTTACTACAAAGCTCATAAATCAATTTAGATTTGAATAAATTGTTTGTTTATATTATGAAATGTATAAATAAACTAGCTGACCCGTCGAACTTCGTTCCACCCAAAATTGGATTTTTGTTTTAAAATTTTTTGAGCATTCACGATTTCACCCTTAATTAATCTCTTTGAATAGAATGTTCGCGATTGATTCAGATGATACTACTACTCTTACTTCAATTATTAATAGAATGGAACACTTTTCAAATTGGATTGAATTCAATAAAATTAATTTACACGGAATGTTAAGCGGCTTATGGAATCATTTATCAGGTCAATTCAATGCTTTATGGTAGACTACATTCTTCGTTTTGTTATCCTGCGCATAAATAAACAAATATGAAGGCTTTCCAACACGTGAACATGCCACATATAACTGGCCATGTGAAAAGTAAGGGTATTCGAAGTTGATTCCACACACTTCTAAAGATTGTCATGGCGAATTGGAAATCGAATGCGTTTGAACTTGAAAGGTAAATTTGTTGAAATCAGTGGATTTCTCGGTATGAGCATTTTTTCGGCCTTGAATTAACCTTTGAGTATCGTTGCTTGGATGATAATTATTCTTGAGTTGTTTCACGGCCAATCTAGTTCCATTGCACAACCCAAGTAACCTCCAGAACCGTAGGTTCCGAGTATTGAACGCTGGCGCAACCTCTTCCTCGAGGTTGCTGGAGAATGGCATCCCGCAAGGGTCTGTACTCTCGGTTACACTGTTTCTCATTGCGATGAACTCAGTGTTTTTTTTTTTTTTTTTTTTTTTTTTTTTTTTTTTTTTTACAGGGGGGAATCTGCTCCCAGACACCTGAGAAGATAACTCAGGGTGTGGGGATCGGAGAAGTAGCTCTCCCGACCCACTAAACTTTACCCTGTGCTCTAGGCCCTTGCCCTCCTCGGAACCGCCCGAAAGCATTACGTCATGGGAGGGGGCCGGTTGCGCTATGGCGCATCACTAGGTGTTGTGTCCGACGTGACACTCGCTACTGCACAGTGAGCAGCTTCCTCTTGTTGTTCGCTGTTCGTTGTTCGCCTGAGTTCTAGAGCAGACGTGATAGCCAGCCAACTGTCCAGGACCCATACAGGACAGATGTGACCGCTTACCAGCTGCGTGTGCTAAGCACTCTAAGAACCCGGCGTCACTCCTGCCTTTGCACAACGAGGGTTTGTGCAGGGCTTCTCAACCTCCTGGGACGAGCTGGATGGGGTTCCAGCGTCCCTACTCTGCGGTAGTTCGTTTAGCCACAATATCTCTCCCTTGGGTTCGATAATTAACGTTTCCAGGGCACACCACGAGGAGGCGTACTACTTCATACGGTAGAGTGGTTGAGCACAAGATGCAGGATGCAGTGCAGTCTGTCGTTGACTGGGCAGATGGTGTTGGGTTTGTGATTTCCCCCGAGAAGTCCAAACTGCTGCACGTCTGCTTTGGTCATCATCACAGACCAAGCCTGCCATATGTTAGTATCGGTGAGCATGCGGT